CGGCTGACCACACCTCCCCGCGCAGGCCGTGCAGGCCGCGGGAGAAGCAGGAAATGCCGCACCAGGTGAGGCCGGGAGGCCCGCGGGGCGAGCCGGCGCTTCTCTTCGGAGCTCTCGGCTAAGAGGGCTTGGGCTCCAAAAGGCTATTGGACCCGGGGTCATCCTGATCCAGGGGAGGGAGGACAGGATGTGGGGACCCCTCTGCCCAGCGGGGTGGAGGGGAGGGAGGACTGGATGTGGGGACCCCTCTGCCCGGCGGGGTGGAGGGGAGGGAGGACTGGATGTGGGGACCCCTCTGCCCGGCGGGGTGGAGGGGAGGGAGGACTGGATGTGGGGACCCCTCTGCCCGGCGGGGTGGAGGGGAGGGAGGACTGGATGTGGGGACCCCTCTGCCCGGCGGGGTGGAGGGGAGGGAGGACAGGATGTGGGGACCCTTCTGCCCGGCGGGGAGGACTCCGAGAGGCAAGAACCCCGCAGACCTCAGGCGCCCGACGCGCAGGGCCAGGGGCAGGCGGCCGGCCAGGCTGGTAGCGCTGGAAGCTGCCTTCCGTGGAGCTGAGCCGGCACCGGGACACAGGTGGCCTGGACCCGTGGCCTCTGGTCACGTGGGGACGCCGGGTGAATCCGGTCAGAGGCAGGAGACCAGAGAGTGAAGAGAGTTGTCAGGGCCTTGAGCAGAGCAGGGGGCCTGAGCTGGACAAGTCTGTTTCCTGCAAACTTCCCACAAGTCCCTGTGGGGGTCCGGTTCCCACCCACCTCCCCTCCCCTCCCACCCTCCCCTTCCCTTCCCTCCCCGGGAGGAGCTGGGCAGGGCTGTCCCAGGCACGAGGCGCGTGAGCTCCGGCAAACATCACGGGGAAGGACCGCCGACCTCTGTGCGGAGCACCTCCCTTTCCCAGCTGCAGACGCAGGAACCTCCTTTCAACAGGGGTGGAGCTGTGGCTCTGGGGGGCTGACTCCGATCTGGGGGTTCCCTGGCAGTCAGTGCCGGGGCTGGGCTCACAGCCCACTGCCCCCTGACGGCTTCCTGCCTTCCTCTCAGCACAGCCGGCTCCCGGGAGTCTTCGTCTGACCGCCAGGATGGAGCTGGGGCCGGCGCCCAAGACCTTCGCGCTGGAGCCCCGGTGTCTGGAAGATGGGGACGCGGGGTCTGACACCCTCTCAGGTGAGGGGCTGGGGGGCCTCTGACCTAAACCAGGAGACGGTCCTCAGGCCCCCAGCCCCAGGCCGCCGTGCGGAGAGGGGCCTGGAGGGTGGCGGGCAGCGTACTGTCTGGAAGGGCACCCCCTGGTTATTAGGAATCGTTTCCTAGAAGGAAATTATTTCTTGGTTTCATTAAATCAGTATCTTCCTGGGAAAGTGACCAGAAAGCAAAATTTTATAAATCAAACCTCTGCTTCCCATTACGAAAATGAACATGTGATGGTGAGGGCACACTTGGGGATGGAGAAGGCCTCTTAGGTCTCTGCCAGCCCAGTAGGGGCTCCCAGTGAGGCCCTGCCTAGGGTCGCAGTGCAGGGGGTGACCCGGCCGGAGTGGGCCCTGGTCAGCAGGGCTTCCGCTCCGCTGGCTCCACGCCGGGCTGTGCGTCCGTCCTCTCCGTTCTCAGGCTCCCTGGAGAGGCTTTGTCTCCTCGATGGAGACACTCGGAGGTTAAGGAACTGGCCAGTCCCCATGTTCACGTGGGGCTGGGGGTGCGTCCTTTCCCTTCCAGAACCCCAGCCTCAGACACTTCCGGTCTTCAGGCTGTTTCAGATGGAGCTGGTTGTAGCCTTGACATTTCCAAACTGGCTGTGAGTTTGCAAACTAGTTCCCCGCCCACAGGGCGAGGGACTCTTCAGGCATCTTCCATGTGCCAGGGGCTGTGCCAGGGCGCGTCCTGCTTTCCCAGGAAGCTGGCAGGGTGGGCATCCTTAAGCCGTTTACAGACAAGGGCGCTGCGCCTGCAGGAGGCTGGACAGCTGCTAACTCAGAGCCAGGGCGGAGGGGAGCCCTCGGGTCTCAGGACTTCCCACTGGAACCTTGTGTTCTTGCTGGAACTTCAGTTTCTTGTAGAAACCACTTGTGGCAGCACTTCCAGCAGCTTTACAGAAATCCTTCCTATTTACAGAGAAAGCAAGTTTCATTCGTTGCAGGTGTGACCCTAACCGAGGTCAGAGTGCAGCGTGGGCTTGGAATGGAGGGCTGGCTCACTGATTCCCACGGGTGATGACTAGGCACCAGGATTTCTTGGGAAATGGTGGGGAGCCCGGGCACCCATGTGGTGTCACTGCCAACCTCCAAGCATGGAGCCTATGGGGAGGGGGGCGCAGCCCAGAGAAGGGGTCAGGGACTAGGGTCCAGAGTGATGTGACTTTCAGTCTTTGAAGTGCATTTTTAAAAAAATATATTTTTATTGATTTCAGAGAGGAAGGGAGAGGGAGAGATAGAAACATTAATGATGAGAGAGAGAATCATTGATCGGCTGCCTCCTGCACGCCCCCTACAGGGGATGGAGCCCGCAACTTGGGCATGTGCCCTTGACAGGAATCAAATCTGGGACCCCTCAGTCTGCAGGCTGACGCTCTATCCACTGAACCAAAAGGGCCAGGGCTGGGGTGCATTTTTAAGTCAACCCTCACCTCTGGGCATTTCAGTTTCTGCCATGCTGCCATTGTCACCGATCCAGTGCTTTTGGGTCCCTCCTGAGGGTCTGGCCCAAAGAGCTGCCTCTAGAACAGTGGTTCTCAACCTTCCTAACGCCGCGACCCTTTAACACAGTTCCTCATGTTGTGCTGACCCCCAATTACATTGTTACAAATTGAACAGAATTAAAGCATAGTGATTAATCACAAAAACAATATGTAATTATATATGTGTTTTCTGATGGTCTTAGGTGACTCCTGTGAAAGGGTCGTTCGACCCCCAAAGGGGTCGCGACCCACAGGTTGAGAACCGCGTCGCTAGAGCTTTCTCTCCTGACTTTCTGCCATCTCCCCTCCAGGTGGCAGCGGTGGGAGTGAGAGCCAGGAGGAAGAGGCTCCAGAGAGGACCAGCCCGCTGCGGCCAGTCATCTCAGCCCCAAAGCGAGTCAGCAAGGGCACCAAGGAGGCCCAGGCGGCACAGCAGGAACCGCAGCCAGAGCTGCAACAACCGCCGCAGCGAGAACAGCCACGACAGCCGCAGCCACAGAACCCGCCATCGGGACGCCGATCAGCACTGCAGCCACCGCGGCAGCAGAATGGACAAGAACAGCTGCAGGAACGACAAGAAAAGCACCAACCCCGGCAACATCCGCGACCGAAGTCCCGGCTGCCACCAGCGCCACAGGTGCAGGAGCAGCAAGCGCCAGAGCAACAGCAGGAACCGCTGCTGCCGCAGCGAGGACTCCAGGAAGAACCCCGGCCGGTGCCACCGGAGCCCCTGAAGCCACAACTACAGCTGGTGCAACCGCAGGGAGAGTCACAAGCGCAGCCAGGACAAGAGCAGCAGCAGTTGGAGCAACAGCAGGAACGGTCAGGACAGCAGGCCCAGCTCCAGCAGCAGCAGCAGAAGCAAGGACAGTCACAGATACAGGCACAGCTCCAGCAGCAGCTGTTGCAGCAGCAGCAGCAACAGTTACAGCAGCAGCAGTTGTTACAGCAACAGCAGCTGCTGCAGCAGCAGCAGGAACAGTTACAGCGGCAGCTGTTGCAGCAGCAACAGTTACACCAGCACCTGCTGCAACAGCAACAGTTACAACAGCAGATGTTGCAACAACAACAGTTACAGCAGCAGCTGTTGCTGCAGCAGCAAGAACAGTTGCAACAGCAGCAGCTGCAGCGCCGCCCCCTGGAGCCGGAGGAGGAGGAGGAGGTGGAGCTGGAGCTCATGCCAGTGGACATGGAGTCGGAGCAGGAGCTGGAGCGACAACAAGAACAGCGGCAGCTGCAGCTCAAACTGCAGGAGCAGCTGCAGCAGCTGGAGCAGCACCTGCAGCAGCAACAGCAGCTGGAACAGCAGCAGGAGATGCAGCTGGAGCTGACCCCCGTGCCACCTGAGCTGCAGCTGGAGCTGGTGCCCACTGCAGGGGCAGGCCCAGCTTCAGGACCTGGCGCCTCGGGACCTGTCATGGTGGGCCCCCCGGGCTACGTGGTGCTGCAGGAGCTCATGGTGCTGCCGGCCGTCGCCCCGCTGCAGCCAGCTGTGGCTCCACTGCCACCAGCTGTGGCCCTACCGCCATCAGCTGTAG